TATTTAGTTAGTTAGTTAGTTAGTTAGTTAGTTATTACGAAGTGGCAGACTTTGGGGTCCTCCAACCACAAGACACCACCGCTCCCCTTCGCCAAGTCCTGAAGTGCAAACACACGACCGCGTGATATGCCGTCTGCGGAGTTGTCCGCCGGCTGTACGTGGGTAAAGGATGCCCGTATTCCGCGAGAGTCCAAAAACTCACATATCCGTCGCAGCTCCCACGTCATGGCGTGCGATCTCGAGCTGCCTTCATTCGCAGCTCCTCGCAGCGAATTCCCGTCCACCCAAATGTCCATGGTGGATGGCAAGACGGCGGGAAAAACCGATAGGGCTAAGCATACCGCGCGCGCCTCCGCCTGCATGATAAGAAAAGGTTTCTTCTACCATTTCCCTCCGGCAATTTTAACGTCGCCGGAGTCTGGAATAAAAACGGCTCCCCATCCATGGAGCGATGCGTCCGTGATGATGGCGGCCGATGCCTTTTCCGCAGGCTTGATGATGCACTTGCGATTATCCTCTCGATGATGTGTTGCAACCCCTCGCCCAAGCCGACCGCTGCTGGCGGAAGGTTCGCCGGGGATGTCTCCAGCAAAATCCCCCGGCCAAGTGCGGACAATCGCCGCCGCACTGCCTTCAAAAAAAAGCGGTAGTCGCAGAAACGCGTGTCCAAAACGGCGGCCGCGTTCAGAAAGCGTGACGCCATAAACCCCATTCCCGCGATGGTCAAAGAATTGAGCGCCGGCATGGCGCGTACAGACCGGACAAACCTTTCACTCAGGGATGCCGCCCGGCGAGTGTGACCAAACCGCATCCACAGGAAGGTTTGCTGCGTGGCGCCCAATTCGCGGCCCCCCCCGTGGTGTGGCAACTGTCTGCATTACGAAGCGCTTGGGTTTCCCACAATATCGCATTGCTTTTCGACCCTACAATGCGTATATTATCGATCCATACGTTGACACGCACCGATGGAGGTGCAGCCCAGAGGCGGCGAACCACCGTCGTCACCACCGCGATTGCCGAAATAATAATAATCTGGAGAATTTCTGGGCCGGCCTTGTATGCCATTGGGAGCCGTGTGAGCACCACCAGCGTGCCGTCCTCCACGCGGCATCGAAAGAGATGCCGAGTCTCCCGCGGTAAAGAGACTATGAAGGACGACTTTACATCCAGGCAGGAAGCGGTCTCAGCCATCACAGGCGGCAAATAATGGGAAATGTGTGAAAGAGGAACATCAGCCTCATAAGGGTCGTCTCTGTTCTTGCCGCGCGGCCACACAACCCATCGTCGTCGTAAACCGGCGGGTTTCTCCTCCACAACCGAGAAAGGTATTATCCATCCGCCTGTTATTGTGGACGAAGCGTCCTCGATAATTCCTGCTTTTCGTAACACTCTCGCGTCGGCGGTTTGAATTCTCCGTGAGCCTTCGCGCGCTTTACCGGAGGAAGACGGAGGGAAAGGGGCCCGCCCGACGAGTCCCCAAACTTGCATGAGACTCTCCAAGGTAGCCGGGTTCAACCGGCTCTGGATCCACTCAAGATTCAATACGGGCACGTTGACCTGCTGCGGCGGGATGGTTCGTTCATCTTGTGGAGCAGCCAGACGCGTCCTCGTCGCGCGCCCCGTTATTGTAGCAGCACGATGCTTAAAATCATGGAAAAAACGCCCCTCCGCTCTCAGCCAGGGTTCCTGCCCTTCCGCCGTCCCTCTCTTCACATCAATTCGACCAGCGGCGACACCTGGGTCAGCATTGTGGTGCACCTCCCCAAATATCAAACAGTATTCCGGGGAAGGTCGAACGGGTCGACGTGCTTCGCCAACTGCGAGATCACGTGTGGATCCAAATTGTATGTCTCCACGATTTGAGCAGCGTGCCTCAACGCACCCCTTTTTATGGAATGCGCCGTGGCATCCCAAGGAGCCAGAGCTCGTGTCACCTGTGCGGTCGTAATATTCGTGAGCTTTTCGTTTTCTTGAAGTGTCCTGCATAACTTTATAGTGTCTAACACGTCCTGCCCTCGTATCCTCACGAACCGCAAGGCGCGGTGGGGATCCGCCCTCGCCGTCTTCGGCGCCACGGACCTATCCAAAATGAAGGTCCCGTCCGGCTCCGGTGTGAAATTGTTGGGAGTTAAGGCCGCAATCTCGGACCAACAGCTCGCATTTACCCACGCAAGTCGTAAGAAAACACGTTCCTTCCAATCGATCCGGCTGCGGATTACTTGATTCATCCCTTCCTTCGTCAAGGGTCGCGCCTGCCTCGTCTGCCTCGTCTCCGCGATTCTTCGTGACCCCAGAATCACCATGTCTAGCGGGGTTCGATCCATTTCCAAAATGGACCGCAGCATCCTGGTGTGCCGCTGTCGGGTCGATGGCGCCGCTTCGATTGCCACCAAAAAGGCCGCACAGCTCTCCTCGCTGGTCGGCCGTTCGCGCGTGCAGCAAAAAGCCGCGAATTGCCCCGCTAGGGGCGTTCTCCGCTCCCACGTTGACGGCGCGCACATCCCTCGAGTCACCTCGTTCGCTTTCCTCATATAACTGGCCCAAAGCGGGGATGTCGGTGTTTCGTTGTACCGCAGTCGAGCGTCGTCTACGGATAAGCTCCGTCGCCCTTCTCGACGATTTCTTCGGGCAATTTGAAAGATCGGATGGAGCATCGACGGCGCGGCGCGACGCCTGTGCGGATTGGTGGGAGGTGGCGGATCGGATGGGGCTACCGTCGCCCGCGTTCATGAGCAGCGTGCGGCATTCCCTCTGCCATTTTTGATGGACGCCTGTATTGTGAGTAATTCCCTCTGGGGCGCACATTGCGTGTAGACGCATCGTTTCCAAAGATATGACAACGTTGGCATCGCACGGTGCGTTGGGTTTCTCGCCGATCGACGAGAGGCTGGGCTGCCCTCGCATAAGCGTCCGTCTGTTGAACAGCGGTGTAAAGACGGGCGCGCAGTTTGTAAAGCCGGATGCCGGGATCGGACGCAATCGTGAGCGGCATCCGGAATGTATTCAGTAGGGACCTCCCCAAATTCGTGATTCGATCGGTGGGATCCTGCAGGCCTTCCAGTGCGCTGATCCACTCGACCAAATTGCCAAAGGCAAGTTTAACCTGCTCGTCGTCCTGTCGCCAGCATTGGTATGCGCACCGGAGGTCGAAAATGACTCCGGAGGCGCCCTCATTCCATATACGCGAGGGCCACGTGGTGACGTCGAATGCGCGGAAACCGCGGTCCTCTTCCATGGGAAATTGGGCGTCCAGGAGAGAAGTGCGGGAAGGCAACGGCGTGGAAGGGTGGAAATGTGGTCTCCCAGCGTTACCGTGAGAGAGTCTGTGCGCTGCCGAACTGTGTCGGGCCACACTGCTAGGCACGCCTCCTGCCATCAAGATATTCGTTTGATGCGGTATTGCGGTTACGCCATCGTTGGCAAAATGTCGAGTGGCGGGGGACTCGTCCCGCCCCGCCGTCTCCGCATCCCGCGCGGTTTGTAGTGCGTTAAGGCGTGCCTCCCGTTCCTGGAGTTGACCAGTGAGGACTCCCAAGTTGAATTCGCGCTCCCGTAATTGGGCGCGATCGGCCCCCAACCGCTTTCGTAGTTCTAGAACCTGGTTGCTGGCCCCGGCGATATTGGATTCTCTTACCGATAGGTTTCGATGCGCCTCCTGAAACTGCGAGTTAAGCTGAGCATTCCGATTCTGCACGACCGCGACGGCGTTCGCGTAATCAAAATTCAGGCGCTCCCTTTCAGCAGTGATGAGCCCTTGTTGGTGCCCCAACTCCCGGGCTGCCCCCATAGCGGGCAGGAGCACGTGTGTCTCAAAATTAGGGATCTGAAGCGCCCGTAGATTCGCAATATGTCCAATGAGAGTAGAACCCTGCCAAGCTTTAGATACAGGTCCATGGAACAAGCATAAGCCCGTCGCTGATGGGGCCACGGTCAACGTCTCATCCGACATCTGGTTACCATCAAAGAACGTCATCTGCACCTGGGTCTCGCCACATTGGCGCACCATTTCCCAGAGACGGGCGCCAATATCACACCACTCGGAGGGTGTGTAGGGAACCAAAGTCATTTCCTTAAACTTATCTGGCTGTGTGTCTGTAAAAAATAAAAACAAATATTATCTGGCCTCTATCGGCTCCCTGATACCCCTACAAAGTCGCGTTCCTCCCAAAAGATTCATACGGTGGAAAGTATCATAAAGAATGCCTTCATTTATCAGGATATACATATACATTCATTAAGCTAGCCAGCTCTCCCGCGATCATTCTTTTCACAAGCTCCTAGAAAAAGATGTTAAACTAAAAGAGATTCGACGTTTTTTTTTCTTTTCTTACCATGATTGCTCAACTGACCAGTAAAGCCCATTCCCCACACAAAAACAAAACAAAACAAAAAAAGAACTCAAATGCCGCAGTGTTAAACAGTACTCCCGTCCACACATACGCATACCCCCGCCCTACCGCAGATAAAATTAACCAGGTAAATGATTTCATTAAATAAATGGATGATGGAAAACACTAATTACGCCTTGGATGCGTCGTGTTGCCTGACGCCGGTCGTGGAATGAACCCTCTGCGGCTAAACGGCCGCGTGACGCTGGCAGAACGCCTTGATGCGCTCAACAGCCTCACGGTATACCTCAACGGGCCGCGTCGTCGTTAACCGCGTGAAGCCTGGTGCATGGAATATGGTTCCAGGCAGCACCTGCACGTTTTCCTCCTCGAGCAGCTTCTCGAAGAACTCCACGTCGGTCTTGATTT